ACATAGTGTCTCGTTGTTACAACAGAGGATCGACCTGTATCCTTGTTTCAGCATTTTGTTATTTCCCTTGCCCTCCCCAAATTACAAAAATGTGTATACAAGATGCAGGACACCAAGATCAAATACAGTGACAGCAGGGGCTATACCATAGAGGGAAGAACATACGAAAGAAACAAAAAAATCACATAGTACATTAAAAACAACAACAACAAAGAAAATATCTCTTATCTTGGTGCTCATTTTGCTTAGCATCATCTTATATGGTCATATGTACATAGCTTTTGACTTTTTCTGTTTGTCTAGTAGAATTATTGTAGATGTATACTAGTTACTGAAAATAAGGGAAACCATGGGACCTATGTTTCTTTGGGTCTGGCTTACTTCACTTAATATATTTTTTTCCAAGTCTTTCCATTTCCTAACAAATGGGGCAGTGTCATTCTTTCTGATGGAGGCATAGAATTTATATATATATATATATATATATATATAAATTTTCTTGACCCTTTCATCTACTGAGGGGCATCTGAGTTGGTTCCATATCTTAGCCTTAGCTATGGCGAATGATCCTCACAGAAGTTTTTATGCAGTGTGTATGAACATGGACTTGAGGTGTGCTAAACTACTCAGTACAGTTACTCTTTCTAGTCTTTGTCTCCAGATTTTTTGTTTTGAGGAACACCTCTTCCTGCTCTCGGTGGTTTAGGGGTCTCTGTTAGTCAGGTCTAGCCATCAGTGCATGCCATCCATGTCCAGCGTGGTTATTGGTGTTGGGGGTATGAGTGGGGGTGGTCAATGCTAACTCAAGCTGGGCTAAGGAAGAGTTGCTGAAGATTGGGAAGAAGGAGAAATGATCTTCTAGCCAATTTGCTGAGTGGAGTGTTTAGCTGCTAGTACTTGTCCTGCTCCCACAAGGGGAAAGTTTGCCTGAGAATAAAAGTCAAGACTATGTGTATGGAATCATTCCAGCCTCTACCTCAGCCTTGCCTCTCTCCCAGGCATTTACATGAGCTATTCAATGACCACTTTGGTTTCAACCAGGTTGTCAAGTTTCTGTCTTCTATAAGCTAAACAGGGCTAATCACTACTGGCTGAAACGAATTTTGTCTGCTGTTAGTCTTAACAATGCCAGAACTGTCTGGCCATGGAAATGACTACAGGTAATTAAGGGCCCCCTAATTAGTTAAGGAGCCCATAAGGGACTATGGATGTCTTTTCAGATGTTCTTTCAGACTCTGTGAGCCTGTTGTCAGTTAGTGTATGAATGTGCCACTTCCCATGGCCTTGCCTTCCCAGGCTCCTTTGCTTGAAGTACATCTGGCATGCTACTCTGCTGTCCACTGACCCTGTTATATTAAGTAATGTGGGTTTGAAGGTTTCATTCTCAGCTTAATGAGTGTTCTGGCAAGAAAGGGACGGAGGAAAAGAGAAAGAAAGAAAAAAGGGAAAGGAGGAAATCAAGAAATCTACTTCACTGGGTATGATGATACACACCCTAACACTTTGGAGGCTGAAGCAAGAGAAGAATGAGTTCAAGGCCAGCCTGGACTACACTGAGAGACTGTCAAAAAAAAAAAAAAAAAAAAGAACTGGCTGTGGAACTCAGTGATAGAGCATTTGAATAGCATGTGCAATCCTCCCCAACCTCTATTTTTCATGGTGGTTTAAGGATTTATTTGTGAAGTTCCATCCAATCTCGTAATAAAATTCTTGATTATAATCCCTCCTTAGGTGACTACATTGTAAAGTCCAAAATGCTTCTCTATGTTGTTGGTTTGCTTTTTTGAAGAAAATGAAAAACGGTTAAAATCTGTAGACAATGGTACTGTTTGGAAATGCTATCTTGTATTGGAAGTTTTCATACTAAACTCCAGTTCCTTGCCCTCTGGTTTATTCTTCTCACTTACCTCTGTATTTCGGGTTGTTTTAGTTTCCTTAATAAGCCTTCTTTGTCGGGATGAAGTGCTCCAACTGCAGGTACTTGAATAACAATGGTGTAGCAGGGTAATTGCAGCGGAGCCTGACAGAAGCTTTCAGACAAGGGACACTCTAGTCCGTTTTCCCAGGGAAAACCAAACACCAAGAGAATCCTTCCCAACAAGATTAAAGATGCAAATAATCTGCCGGAGATAGGAACGCTTCTGTTTTCCTTCTCAGAGACTTGACAAAAAACCCACAACAGTGGAACATCCAGGGAACATCCTAGTCATGCTAAACTCTTTACTACCTGGAAGGTTCTTCTGTGTAGACGTTTCTAAAGCAGTTAGAATGGTGCTGAGCATCCTCATGGCAGATCCGGTGGGCCCAGAATCTCTTAAAAAGGCATCACATTGCAGCATATTTACAACAGTAGCCATTCATCAAACATTCATATGTAAATATGGCCAGGAACCCACTTATGTACAGCACTGGATGAAACTGTGCATTGGTAGTATGTAAGATGTGATCTAAACAGAGATGGTTCATATGCACAAGGTCCTCCTTTCAGCAGGGGACAGGAAATCAGAGGGGAACTCAGTTAACATTAGAACAATATTGGGTCCTGAGCATCAGCTCACACAATTAAAGGAAAAATACCTGGCTATATAACCCAGGCATGAACCCAAGCATTAATATTCTTTTTTTTTTTTAATTTAATTTAATTTTATTTGTGAACATACTGTACAGAGGAGTTACAGTTACATGGGCAGGATAATGCGTACATTTCTTACCAAGCATTGCAGCCTCCTCCTTTGTTTATCCTTCACATCCCTTCCCAGCCTCCCCCCTCCCCCCCTAATCCCAATCCTTCTCCTTCCCCCTCCCCCTCCCCCCCCCCCCCCCCCCCCGCCCCGCACCAACGTTGTAAAGCTCGTTTTGGACATGACAACTTGTACTTCTCATTGTTGCAACAGGTCCACCTGTATCCTTAAACAACTGGTTTTTCCCCATCTCCTCCACAAGTTATAAGCATTAATATTCTTAATGGCTCCTCCCATAGGGTCCAAGGTGATATCAAGATTGAAGAAACTTTTACTTAATTCAGAGAGACAATGGATGTATGTTTTCTCTCGCATGTGGAAGTTAGATCTAATTTAGAAATATATATGAAAACACATACAGGGTCATGTGCATGTACGCACAAACCAATTGACGAAAGTATGGAACATAAATGGAACTCTCTGGAACAACTAACTTACAGTTTAACAAAACGAATACCAGAAAGCTGACATATGTGTTGTTAGTAGGGGAGGAGGTCACAGGAAGTGGAGGCAGAGAGGAAGGATGGGTGAATGCAGTCTTAACCGTCAATGTACCATGTGAAAATGGAACTAGTTGAGGAGATGGACAGAGTGAGGAGCGGTTGGGAATAAGCAGTATTGATTGGTCTGAAGATCTGATTACTTCCATCAAAGGAACACACAGGAAACCATAGGGAACTCAGAGTCAGCACACCACCGCTCTGGGCCTGAAAGAACTCTTTACTCCATATCAGCTAATAACAAGGACCAATTATCAGACCTCAGAGATGGGCAAGAACTTAAAACACCAGTCAATCCAAATGCAGTTCACCCACTTAACTAACCACATGCCTCCTAACAGCCATTTGACGTACTTGAAAATTCCTCTGTTCATAAACTTGGAGTTCAGTTGTTATGTGGACCCAAATGAGAAATAGGTGTTACTTCACAAAACTGGAATCTAGTGGCCCACAGTGTGGTTCACTGGTTGAGTATTTGCCTGGCCTGTGCAAGACTCTGTGGGTTCAATTCCTAGCACCCTAAAAACAAAAGCAACAAATAACTGCAATCTCAGGGAAGCCACAGCCAAATCAAGAAGCCTAGATTTTCTCCTCCAAGTGCTCCATCTTGTGACCATATTCCCATCCAGTGCAGGTGCAGAGTCCCAACTCATGAGGCGAGCTGGACCACCATGTCCCAGAATAGACATTCTTAGGCACTGACACTACTGCCTGGCTGGGGAATGAGGCTTAGGCTTGATTAAAGCTGTCTTTCATTTCTCTTTGTCTGAGTGAACCCAGTCAGCCAACAGTAATCCACTTGTCCAGAGGACTCTAACCTAATCACTAGCACTTGTGGACAAAGCCTCTAATGCCCAGATCCATCTCTCTCTAATTGTCCTGACCAATATATCTGCCTCTTCTCTCTGACAGCTCAGGCCAGGCCAGGCCAGGCTCGTCTCCAACCTCTCCCTCTGAATAGGATTAATCAAAAGGATCAGAGATTCAGACTGGAAACTTTTTTTATATGCCGGGGAAGAAAAAACCCAACCCTGAGAAAAAGGAGTGTAAGCTTCCAAGTCATTGTTCCTTGGGGTATGTGCAGGATGCTTTGTTTAGAAGCCACTGGCTTTCCAAAGGGCCAGAGGGGCTCCAAAAACTTACACAGAATCTACTACTTCACAAAACAAAGAATTTTCTCATCAACAGAAGTCTGGTCCTCAGAGTCACTTGGAAACCCAATTTTAGAGTGATGCAGACCTTCAGAAAACACTTCGGCATCACAAAAATCTTCCTCCTGGATCTCATGCTACATTTCTGAGAGGCAATGATGGCCGGTGCTAGACTCTCTCCATTGCCTGCTGACTGTACTGGCCCTGGGCTATGGGGTGACCTCAGGCCATGTGATGACTTTCTGTTCTCAGTTCTCCTGCCCTGCATCTTCAAAGGTTAGCATTTTAAAATGTCACTTTCTTGCATGTCTGCAATCCCAGCTACTCAAGAAACACATTGGGAAGTTCAACACCCGCCCAGGCAAGACATTAGCAAGAGTCCCCACCCCACCTCAACAAATAAGCTAAGTGTGGTGATACATGCCTGGCATCTCAACTATATGAGAGGAGGATCTTGGTCTGAGCCTGGCCTGGGAGAAAAATATGAGATCCTATCTGAAAAAGTAACCTAAAAGCTTGTATGACATGTAAAAAGCCTTGAGTTCAAAGATCAGTACCACAAAAAACAAACAACAACAACAAAACCCACCTCTTCTGTATTTTGTATTCTGTTGCCAATTAAGCCCATCATTTTCCTTTCTTTGTGGGGACTCGATGTGCAATGACTGCAAATATCCTCATCCTCAGGAGTGCGCATAGCTGTCCTGACTCTGGATTGCTCTGGGAGATCATTGAGAAAGGTCTTTCCAATGGTCATCCATGTCTCCGGCCTCATCTTCCTCTCATCCAAGGCTCCAGACAGGCATATGGATCCCTTTGGAAAGTTATAGAACATAGTGGCGAGAAACCTTACTGACTAAGTCATCATATCCTTCAGGACCAAGCTACAGAAGAAGGACATGTGAATTGGGTCTCCTCAGGGCTAACTTCAAGTCTCCTGGACACCAGAAGATCCATGTCTCCAAGAAGTCGGTTTTTGCCATGTTGAATGCAGATCAATGTTAAAACATTGGCTGAGGATGGTTCATCTCAATGAGGGTCATTGTCATTCCCAATGATAGGCCTTGACCAATGGTGGACCCTGCACTCATGAGGGCTTCCAGTCTGGTCCTCTTTTTACTCCTGTCCACTAATAAATCCTACTTCTGGTCAAAAACAGAGAACTCCTCAAGCTGATTTTTACCCTTGGGAGGGGAGCAGGGAAGCCCTGTGGAACCTACTTATAGACAGTGCCCCCGTTTAAGCCAGAGCATCAGGAAATGTGAGACACTTCTGGGGGGAAGTGGAGAGATTGGATGCATTAAGTCACCACCAAGTGTTTTAGTGTTCTACTTGCTCATTCCACCACAGTCACTTAGTTTCTGCTACAGGCAGAACCATATCATTCATCTATCATTATTGCTATTCTCTCTTTGATGAGATAATGCCATTGCATCTTCATTCCCTTTTTAAGCCCATATTAATTATACAAAGCAGTGGTTTTCACAGTGATATTGTCACATGGAGATATTAGAGCTCAGTTCTTATTACACCAATCAACAAATAGCTTTCAGGGCGGCAAGGCTAAGTAGGCCTAGCTTCTGCACTAACAGACTGGGAGTGGGACATGGTCCCAGTGGATCCTGGGCCTGGGGATCAAGAACAGACAATGCACCGGGCGCTGGTGCTCACGCCTGTCATCCTACCTACTTAGAAGGCTGAGATCTAAGGAGTATGATTCAGAGCCAGCCCGGGCAGGAAAGTCAGTGAGACTCTTATCTCCAATAAACCACCAGAAAACCAGAAGTGGCAGTGTGGCTCAAGTGGTAGAGCGCTTACCTTGAGCTGAAGAGCTGAGGAACAGCGCCCAGGCCCACAGTTCAAGCCCCATGACCAAAAAAAAAAAGAACAGACAATGCTAACAATACAAATGTGCTCTGAAACCCACTGCTTTATTACAGAAGGACTTCCTCATCCTCATTCAGAAAAAAAAAATGGAAAAGTGATTAATCTTTCATTTTTGTTCCACATGGTCTCAGGAAAAAGAAGCAGAAGCAGAAGAAGGGAGGTGGGTGGAGATGGGGTGGGGAGGGGATATGTAGGATTTCCATACAGTCGCATGTGTCTTCAGGTGTCAATTCCTCCAATAGTTCTGCTGTGAAAGGAAGTGTGAGGCCAAAACCCAAATCAAGGAACAAGTAGCACCTTCCTTCCTCCAGCCCTCCAAGGGGGTCATGGGGAACAGACTAACCTTTCCATCTAAGGCCCTTTTACTGTTACCTACAGAGATGTGATCAGAGCCTATCTCTGCCCACCGCAGGTCCTGCCTTCTGGCCTCTAGAGTCCCCTCCATCTCTCATTCTCACCCTCTCTCCAGAGGAGGTTTGGGTGGTTATTCCCAGGTACCTGCTGTTGGTATAGGCAGGCTGGACATCAACTTTTAATCCTGCTGCTTCAACTACTTGAATGCGAGGATTATAGGCCTGTGCCACCACTGCCAACCAGGTGCTGCTGTGCCTTGGGTTTCCTCTCATGGCCTTCCCATCTGTTCACTCTATGCACTCTCTGGTCATTGTGTCCTAAAGAAAGAACCAAGGCCAGACCAGTAGCTATGTCCTGGCAGATAAATATACCAGCATCAAAACAATGTATGTACCTGGTGTTAGGCCAATGCTCAGCAACCTGGGTCCTGACCTCAAATTTTATCTGCAGTGTCACCAGGTCTATATTCCTGCTTATCACTGTGAAGATATGACCACAATGGGGTCTTGCTTCATGTAAGTCTTGGGCATAAATGGCATGCTTCACGGGTCTTTTCCCAGTGCTTTGTCTGTCCTCTCCTCTGCCCTCCAGTTTTTTTTAACTTTAAAAAAGTCTTCAAATGAATTATAGAACTAGAACTAAAACATTTGATGTTTTTGCATTTATTTGGTGCAAGTTTTGACATTCATTCACATTCTTTTGAAGATACATTTCTCTCTGGAAGAAAAATAAATGCATTGCTACTTAAGTGGCCTTCCTCTGGGCAACAAAGGTAGACAACACAGAACTCAGTGATGAGGAGACCTGAGTCCCGCTCAATCATTATCTAATGAGGATTTGGGTTTTTTGCTTTTTGTTTTCACTGCTCCTGGGGGTTGAACTCAGGGCCTGGGCACTATCCCTGAGCCTGTCTCTGTGCTACCAGTTGAGCCAACAGCTCTACTTAAAGCTTTTTCTAAGTAGTCTATTGGAGATAAGAGTTTCATGGACTTTGCTGCCCGGGCTGGCTTTGAACCATGATCCTCAGACCTCAGCTTCTTGTATAGTTAGGATTACAGGCAGGAGTCACCAGCGCCTGGCTAATGAAGTTTCTTCAAACACCCTCCCTTCCAGATCTCAGTGACAACGTGGAAGGCGATGTTTTTACTGGACACAGAACCACAGGTTCTTATGAGAACCCAATAAGCAAGTATGTGCTAATGTAGTTTGAGCGGGGGAAAATGGTTAGCTATAATACCTTTTAGTCAAGTATACTGTGAATCTACAGCTTTGCTTAGAATAATTTTTCTGTTCTCATTCTCTAAGTTTTGGCTACTTTGGAAACTTTACTTGCATTCATGTGTACAGAGTCCTATTGGTCTATAGGAGGCTTTTCTTTTTCTGGGAAGGACATTCTATAGCCAGTGTGCTGTTTTCTGAAAGTTCCACTTTCAGGAGCAAGCCCTGGTGAGATGCCATCTCGACATCTGCAAATCACATCCACAGGGAAAATGTGACTCACCCAAGTTACTGTGTTAAGTTTTCATGGATATTATTCAGGGAGTAGGTGTTGTCTTTGGGCCAAATCACTTGGAAGCATCATGACATCAGTCCTATCACTGAAAACTGCCTATGTACCCAGAGCAAACAAGGAGAAGGGCAGGCACTGGGACCCAAACTTAGTCTGAGAGAGGGTCTCCTTCAGTATGAGAGAAAATGGATGAAAGAATGAGGGCAGAGTGTCCAGCTTAAGGTAGAGTAGCAACAAAGGGCAGGCCAGTTAAAGTGCTGTCATAAATAACCCTATGCAAATACCACCCAGATGACTCAACTCCTCGTGGAATGAAGACAAAAACAAGCGTAGTTTAAGCTCATAAAATATAAGTGCATGAGATGTCTGCTCCCCTCTTCTTCCTGGGCTGCATCTTATGCCACTAATTGATTATTACATAGTTTGCAGAATTCTGACCCAGTTTAAATAGCTGCTATCAATCAACACAAGGTACCAATGGCCATGAAACTGCCAGACATGCCAGTATAAAGGTTTCAGTAACCTACTGGGTGCATGCATGACATTTGACCCAGCACCCAAACCACATCATTACTGCTGGCATATTCCGCCTTCTCATCTTTGCCTATGTTATCCTTGAACATACCACCAGAACACACATTTGAGCTACTTTCATTAAAAGGCACTTTAGTTTTGATGTGGGTCTCTACCAGGATTGCCTGGCCTCTGATTCAATGCTTTGAGGCTTCAGTTTCAGTGGTTAACTCTGTTTCCTAATGTGTTCAGCAGAATTTTCCTTTATTGTTCTGCAAATTCCAATCATGACAGAACATATTTCAAGAGAGAGAGAGAGAGAGAAGTTACCTGTACTGTCTCTTTGATATAAGGGCCTCTGCCCTGATAGAAGTGTGATACCATAAGGCCCATTCTGGCTCTTAATAAATTATAGAAGGCATAAGATCAGACTATTACCACTGAGGTGGACTCTAAGGGAAGGAAGACATGTAATGATAAATTGTGAAGGAATTCAGACCAGGCTCATGTCAAAGGGAGATTGTTGCACCAAGAACCACTCTCCTTGCTGAAGGTGAAACATTTTCAACAGTGGAAACAATCCATTACCGTTTGATTGCTCAAGAGCTTCTTGTTGTAATAGTTTGGAAAGGAGCACTTATCCGGGTCTATGGTGGCTTCCTCTCCATTTGGTGGCCTCAGTCCCAGGAAGCCAGGCTGCTCCAGAGTCAGCAGCTAAGTGTGCAGATTAGCAGGACTCTGGCAAGGCTTTCTGGCTCTTAAGGAAACAGGGAGACTTAGCCCTACTTCTTGGAGTGCTAGGGTCGTCAAAGATAGTTTAGCAGTTTCTAGATCGTTCAGGCATTTTGATGGCTGGAGTGCCAGAAATGGTTCCAGAGAATCTGCCTTGAAGAAGATGCATAGTATCCATCCCCAAACCAGATGAAAACATCCCACCCTGTGTTCCTAGCAAGGTTTCTCCTGTGTCCTGCATGCAAGTTAGAAAAGAGTATGCTATAAAGCTATACATGCTAGGAAAGCATTATATCCACTGAGCCATACGTCCAGCCCTTTGTGCTTTAGTTATTTTTCAGGTAAGATCTAGCATTGTTTTGCCAGAACAAATCTAGACTGTAATCCTCTTCTTACACCTCCTATTTAGCTGAGATGACTTACATATACCATCACACCTACTTCTTGTTGTTGTTGAGATGGAGACTTGCTAACTTGCCATCCGGTATGGCCTTGAACCAAGATCCTTTTGATCTCTGTCTCCCAAGCAGTTAGGATTATAGGCACAAGCCACCACACCTGGCCCATAAGCAAGTACTCCTAATTGTCCTTGAGTGCAGTGCTACTAATAAACAGTGGCCCCAGTTAAGTTTAGGAGCCCCAAGGCCTTGATGCGTAAGTGCCCCTCTAGAAATGGATAAACTCAGCAAGGGAGCACTCCATCCCTCTGGTCAGCCATATTAACATGGAGTTGAATCCTGAGGACC